GACTGGACAGTTTCTGTCAGTACAGGAGACAGAACTGTCTGTTTCATTAGTCTATATACAAGATTTCCTCTTAATTAAAACCTTTTGAAATGCTTTATGAGTAGGATGAGTCACACAAAACTTTCTGTTTAGTGGGAAGATAGAAATATCATATTGAAGAGAAGGGGCAAAAGACACACTGCTGGTAAGAGATGCAGGATATTACGTGCCATGGCTATAAAGGAAGTTAATGCTCAGCACTGTTGTGCTGTCTGATGACAGAAATCTCTGTATGGATGGGTTGAAAATGCCTCCCATAGTCCTGCCAGACCCAGTCTGGGGCCTCATAGGTCGTATGTCTATTTCTGCTCACAAGTCTCTGTGCCTAGTGAAAGGTGACCAAGTATGCCCCAGACAATGTGTGAAGCTCAGAGAAGTATCTCATCTGGCAGAAAAAGAGATCTGCTGAGTCCACGAAGCCAGCTGCCAGGAGGCTTAGCCAGGAAAATGTGCCTTCTCTAACTAGTGGGACTAATGCCGATGCCTTTCTGGCTGTTTGCTTTTGAGCCTTTACCAGTGCTTCTGTCCTGGTGGTACTTTCCCAGCATTTCATCCAGAAGTTATCATACAAATATCTGAGCTGAAGCCTCACAGGCTGGTTTATAAATTGTAGTTTTGTAAAGATGTGGTTGGGCTGCAGCAGATGAAGACAGCTGCTAATGAAAGCTATTTCTGTGCCAGCATGTACCTGAAGGCAAACGCTAGGCCCAATATGCATAAGGCATCTGGTTTTATTCCAGTGGCATACGGCAGCTTCACGCCCTTAACAACAAGTCACCCTCACAGCAGCATCAGCCAAGGGCAAGGTCAATCAGCCAAATGTGGAGGGAATTACATGTTTTAATGTCTCTCTGACCGAGAATGTACTTTGTAAGCACAAGGAGTACTCACGACACTTGGGTAATTTTGCAGAGCATAAGTATACTGCTGCTCGGTTGTTGTTAAGTCTCCCACACTCATACATGACTGTGCTGTAAAAAGGTGAGACAGGCAGTGAATTACAGACGATGATTGCAGGGTGACTAGATAGGCCTCCACAAGACATACGCCTATAACTTGCAATTCACAGGGCTGCTCAGTACATGAGCCAGCCTGCTGTAGTATATCACCCTTCCAATAAATGGAAGCCAAAATATAAAGTTGCTATCTACTTACTCAGACACATGAAACTGGTGGGTGTAATGATCCAGACACATAGCTTGCTGATACACTGCTAGAGTCAATGAAAGATGAATAACGAAATGTGTGGGGGTAGACCTCAGCAATCTTAAATACACCAATTAAAAAAACCAACTCTGGATAAACAAGTGTGGGAAATTACTTCTGATTCTGTTTTGGCTGGCCGGGAAAAAAAGGCCTTTTTCACAGCTGTAGGTGAGGGAAAGCTGTTGGCATCTATGGGCACCATTAACTCTTCTCAAGGATGACAGAAATTCATCTCTCCTTGCTAGGAATAAAGTCACCTTGAGAAATAACCATCAGATACTCAAGAAGCAAAATGAGTGACACTTTCTCAGCATCTGGTGCCTGCAAGTTAGTTTTTCAGGTTTGTATGAGGAAACCTTGGTGCACTAGATGGCCTTTATGCAAAACAAATCACTTCCTTTAAACAGGCAGTGTGTTTAGGGCAGATGGCAGCATCCTCCTGTGGACCTGTGCCAGGCTGCGGAGCTCCAGCTCTGGGGACTCTTGGCTGCAAAGGAGGCAGCTCCCATCACCATGCTGCTCCCCCAGTCTGGGGTCCTTATCAGCAGCATGCCCCGAGGAATGGTGGAGGCTGGAGTGACTGCAGGGGTGAAGCCGCGGAGGCTCGTCGCAGGCTGCACCATTTGTTTTAGTTTTGGAGTCAACTGCGAGGAGCGAAAGGTCTAATGGCTCTGGGGCCTGTGAAGCATTTGATAAATATTTCTCTTTGAGGGCCTTCCGCCTGCCCAAACGTGGCTGCATATAGGGAGGGCACATGCATGAACTTGTGGCAACAGATGTCTATTTTGCTGGGACGTGCCATGTTTGACAGAGTGGGCCCATAAAGATTTAGCATGAGGCTGGAGAACAAGCATCGCTGTTTGCTGTAAACAAACCTTACCGAAGTGCCTGTAATTGCAGTGTTAGAAGATTGGCCAGGCCTACATGGTAGCAGGGGAGGAAAATAATGCTTTGTTTTATCTGTTCTTGCAAACAGCTGGAGACAGATAAAAGCGGAGACAGCTTTAACCTAAGCAAAGATGGTGACTATGTGCTTTCCTTTGTTCCTCAGTGCTTTCTGTTTTCTTCCTTCTTAGCTATATTTTTATTTGCGAATGAGACTTATGCATGGGACAGCTTCTGAATGCTTTTTCTTTTTTTCTTCCTCTTTTTTTCTTTAACCTAAGGAGATACCTGTTTCTCCTCAAACTCAGCTCGTCTGCTTCAGAGGTATGCAAGAACAAGACTCTGTGGTCTGTTCTGCCTACTCGTGGCAACTTCCAGAGCCCTGACACAAAGACCAGACAAACACCTTCCACAACTAACCATCACTGAGGACATGTTTTGCCATAGTATGGTAGATGTAAAACAGTCCTGAAGTAATCATTTTCAGATTTTCTAGTAACACAGAATACAAAGATAGAGAGAGAAAAGGAACTGTTATCTTAAAAACAAACAAACAAAAACCTTCCATCACTTCTTCCAGATACACAGGAGCAAATTTTCAAATCCTAGCATTCAGAGTGAGCAGTGATTTACACTGACATTAATTAGAATCACTTACCGAGCTAAGTTCCCCATGAAATGCTTTGAAACTGTAGAAACTGTACCTTGCTGCTTCTAATTAGATGCTTTGGACTGATGTTTTGGTACAGCAGGAAAATGTTGCTTTGCTAGACTTTTCAATTGCTCTAATTCTTCAAGTCATACCGACCCAATAACGTACAGCTCCATCAGGGTGCCTCTTGCAGGCACATAGGCTCATCTACATAAGGAGTCATTCCAAATCAGCTTTTCCTGATTAAATCTGCTGTGGATGTTACTGCAACTGACATAGCTCTTCTGTTGTAAGACCTGTATTAGACCA